CAATTTCTTACCTGTCAACTAGGGAGGTGCACTGAAAGATAACCTAAATAAAGGTGTTACGATCTTGACCTATAATTTGTGACTGGTGTGATGAATATTCATAACCACCTTCTGTGAGCTGTCAGGGACATTCTCAACTACCACACCGGGGAAGGGTTCTCAGAAACCCAAGGTTCACCACCTTTTTTCCCTCTACCATTGTATCTCAGCATCTTCTTCCTGAAGGTGAAAGGTCAATGAATGGACTTGCAGAATGTTTTAGTTTCTCACTTTTAAAAAATTAAATAGTCTAGATCTCACCACACTAAGGTCAAATATTTCCACAGTACCTTAGATCCATGCACTCTGGAAATTCTTTCCAAAACACTGGCTTTGCTGTAGTTGTACTTCAGATCTCTGCTGTCTCCTGACTGCCAACTAAAACAATAACACCGGAGTGGGAACTATCTCATGGAGACCATTCTGGGAGTCAACATTCAGAGAGAAAAGTTTCCAACTTCCTTAGGTTAAAAAAAAACACACACACACAAAAAAACTTTCCACAATTTTCAAAACATTCTCATAACGTCTGAGTATTTCAGATAAGTTTGCTTCAGGGAGTAAGCCAGCTACATTTAGGTCTTTTCTGAGGCAGTCTTTTATAAATATAGAAATTTCTCTACTTAATCTTTGGGGACAAGAATTAAAATTGCTTTCAAACGGCATTAAAAATAAGACAACACCATTTTCCTTTGATGGCTTAATATACTCCATCAGTAAGAAAATTCGATTTCTCGATTTCTACACATATCTTGGACTGGCAGGTCCCTCTTCCTGGCCCGGAGGTTTGACTGGTTATCCACCCCAGAAACCCTTCATTTACACGCATGCACTCTCTCTCTCATATTTGTTGCCCTCGTCTTCCTTTTCAAGTCTACTACCAACACCTTTATGTAGGATCTGACCATTTCCTGCAGCCTCTTCACTGACCTTCCTATTTGCTCTCCTGTCCCTCCCGCCTGCTCCCATTTTTCCCTTATTCATCCTGAATCTGACTTATCAAGCCTGGTATTCAAACAATTTCACAATCTAGTATAAATAAATACCTCTCTCTCTCACCTTCTCAGGCATGACTCCCCTGCTTAAACCTTCCCTCCAGCCAAGGTGCTTTACCTTTTCTGCAAATATGCCATGGGGTACTGCCGCCCATAGTTCTCCAACTCAGCTTCCCACCGCAACCAAAATAAAATCCCAAATCCTCACCACGTGCCTAAAGCTCCACAGGAACGGGCCCCAGCCAGTTCTCTTACCCCATCTCCTTCCAGAGCCCCCTTACTTATCGTCTGCAGCCGTGCCAACTTTTCTCCTACCTTGTCAAATACCTTAAATTTACCTCTCTCAGGCCTTCGCATTGTTCCTTCTGCTTGGAAGGCTTGGACTAGCCCACTTAAAAGCATTCTCTCTCCCACAGGTCATTCTAGCACATTTTCGATTTTATCACTTTCATAGTCCTTACGAGGGCTTATTTGTGTATGTGTTCACTGTCGATCTCCCCCCGCAGAATGTTAGTTCCAAGGGACTACTTTCCTGCCACTGTATCCCCAGTGGGTGGATCAGGGCCGGCACATAGCAGGTGCTTTATTAACACCTGCTGACTGACTAATCCTACTGGAATTCTCTCCTCTACACCTATACCTTAAAGAACCCTATTCATCCTTTAGACGCACATCAAATGTTATGCCCTCAGTAGGGTATTTATGTCCTCATCGCCGCTGTCCAAAGTTCAGATCAACAAAGTTTTGAGCACCTACTAGAGAACAGGCATGCACTCGGCCATGGGGATGAAATGGTAAACAGGATATGGTTACCATCCCTGTGGCATTCACAATCTAATGGAACTTCACAAACTAAGTGCTTTCTTCACCCTCTGAACTTCTGTAGTAATTAGACTATATAATTAATGTGATAATGAATCATGGCATGCCTTGTAACATCTCTTCTATTGTATCAAAGTATAATTTGGTCGCTGTTGAACACGCTGTCACCCAGCGATGCAGGCTATATGTGGAGAGAGCCAGGTTGTACCTTCCCCACTCTTCATTTGCTCCTCTGTGGATCCTCACATGTCTGAGACACGAAAAGTGAAAGGTTAGAGGCCAAGAATCCTATTCTTTCCCGGTGCTGGACCCTCTACATGAAAGATTTGCATGAGCCCTCTTTATAAGGAATTCAAAGTTTTGGAAACTTAAAGGTATATATTTTGGAGACTCTAATGTTTTCTAAACAAGCTATATTTGTATGCCAAATATGATGAAATTAAATAATATGTGTAAAAATGCTTTGTAAAGTGCTCTCTCTATATATATACATACACAAACAACATAGACACACACACACAAACACACACACCAAGTATAATTTTGGTGCTATTTAACTTTCCAAAGGTCTAAGTATTTGCTGCCCAAATAGACTATAAATTCTTTACGGCAGGAGTCATGTCTTATACTTCCGTTCTCTCTCCCATGACACCTGAGCGAAGAGCCTTTGTTAATAACAGATACATTTTCTATGACCACTACACATTTTTAGTTCTAGACTCAGTAACTTTGCCTTTCAGAAATAAAATTTTTTGTTCTGAAAACCATCAATGTTTACTCTGGATTACTAATAACAGAAACATCTTTTAAATAATTCTATAGAAGACAGGTTTGCTACTGCCATTCTAAAATCAGAAGGAAAACCAAGTTTTTCATCTGGGCTTCATTCTCTGAATGAAGAAATAACACTGGAACAAAAATTCAGAGGTAAGAATTTAAGCATGAAAACTCCTACTTAAACCATTGCATCTTTTAATATCTGTAACTAAAATGTACCTGTCATGTCCAGGGAACACATATTCCCTTGAGGAAGGCTAGCATGGGCTTTTCTAATAGCTAGATTTTTATAGTATCAAGCGTTAAATGTAAACTGCCACATTAATTCATTAAGAAAGTAAAAATATATCAACGTAAACACGAACATCCTCAGAGCAACTTACTCATCTTCTACATTTGAACAGGATGCATCATCTTTTCATCAAAACCATTTAGGTAAAAACAAAGTAAAACAAAAAAACCATTTAGGTTAACACTGGCATAAGGAAAACATGAATTCCTTAAATTTCCTAATCTGAATTTTTATTAATTCCATGTTAATTTGACACTGTAGCATATGATGATTTTAGAAATGAGGTGCTTAAGACTAACAATATTTTAAATAAAACAACAAAACTCTTCTCTTTTGTGTGTTACTTTCATGTCTAGAAGTTTCCTTCTGACTGAGATTTAATAGTAACTCATCAAAAGACCACTGAAAAGATCAGAAATCCTGAAGTTACTTTTAGCTTTTAGAATAAAAAGTTGATTTCATTAGTTATCTGACCTTATTCTGTCAGAACCATCCATTCCACCTCTCCAAAATTAGTCACGCCGTGGTCAGCTTCAACTAGAAGCGTTTCTCCCACTGGTCCACTGAGTTCAAAGAAGTCTTGGCAGGTAAGAATGGGAATTCTACCTAATTTATGTGTAAGAGAGGAAGTTCAGGCAATGATTGAGAAACTGAGGACAGGAGTCCTCCTCACCCACAGGGGATACATTCCGAGACCCCCAGTGCACGTCTAAATAGTACCGAACCCTAGATGCGCTATGTTTTTCCCTATATACACACACCTATGATAAAGTTTACTTTGTGAATTAGGCACAGTAAGAGATTAACAACAATAACTATAATAAAATAGAACAATTATAACAATATGCTGTGATGAAAGTTATGCACATGTGGCCTCTCTCTCTCGAGATACCTTATCATCACCCTTCCTCTTCTTGTGGTGATGGGAGGTGATAAAATGCCCACGTGATGAGATGAGGTGAGGGGAATGACGTAGGTGTCGTGACCTAACATTAGGCTATTACTGGCCTTCTGGCCATACGTCAGAAGGAGGATCACCCGCTCCCAGACCACAGTTGACCATGGGTAACTGAAACCACGGAAAGCAAAACCAGAGTGGGAGGCGTGGGGAAGAGGGTGGAGGGGTGGCGGTGGGTGAATGACAAGGTAATGAAAGCATGAAAAAAAGAATGCACGAGCAAAGACAATGTTAGATAATTATATCAGGGCACAACTCAGAGCAGCTCATTTATTCTTGGCCAAACAAATAATAAAAATGCAGACTCTGGGTTAATGAACTTAAAAATCTCACCTATGTGTTAATGCAGAGAGCCCACGGCGGGCCACCAGCATTCCCACGATTCTGTAATTACACACCAGCAGGTAGACTCATACTGTGACTACATGGATTTGTTTTAACAATTAACAAAGAAAAGCATCTCAAAATCTCCTTACCCAAGTTATTTGTCAGTGGCGTTTCTAATTTCAATTATCATGGACCCCTGCTTTTACACTTGGTTTCTCAATACAAAACAAAGAGCCTCCTAAACTAATCTCCCCAAACTAAATCAAAATGGTTCTAAAGTCAAAATCAAGAACCAAGGAAGCATAAAAAAAATTTTTAACCTTTTGTCAGTGAAGGTAGAACACAGCTATAGAAGAAAAAGAGGGCCTTCTTTTAACCTACTACCCTAATCAGTAATCCAAGGAACCCTACAATCACATCTGTGGCAGGCTGCATAAAAGCCACTCAAAAGACACCCACATCCTAATCCATGGAACCTGCGAATGTGGTACCTATGTGGTAAAAGGGACTTCTGTAGATGTGACTGGGTGATGGGGAGATCATCCTGGGTTATCCGGGATGGTTCAATGTAATCACAAGGGTCCCTCTAAGAGGGAAGCAGGAGGATCAGGCTAGGAGTGGGAGATTTGACAATGGGAGCACCAGGCGGTGTGCTGTGAAGAAAGGACCAGAACCAAGGAGTGCAGGGCCTCCGGAAGCTGAAACCGGCAAGGAGATGGATTCTCCAGAGACTCCAGGTGGAACCAGTCCTACAAACAGCTTGATTTTAGCCCCATAAGGCTCATTTCGGGGGCTCGCTTCGGCAGCACACATACTAACACGGGGACGGTAGAGAGGGTTAGCATGGCCCCTGCCCAAGGGTGACACACAAATTCGTGAAGCGTTCCATATTTTTTCATGATGAGCCCTGAGTGATGTACGGAAGTGTTGAATCACGACCTGTGTATCTGCAACTAATATAACCTTGTATGTTAACTATACTGGGATTAAAATAAAAAATGTAATAACATTTTTAAAAAAAGAAAAAGAAAAAAGACTCATTTCAAATTTCTGACCTCTAGAACTGTAAGATAATAAGTTGTATTGTTTCAAACTACTATGTTTGTGGTAATTTGTTACAGCGACAATAGGAAATTAACACAACATTTTATTATACTTTTAAGGACTGTGAAGCTTAGTAGATGTTATTACCATTAATTGAATTGAAGCTACAATGAAAAATTACAGAAGAGGGTTTGAAATTGCCGGTCTTTCCACACTACCCACTTGTCTGGGAACTGCTAGCATCTAGAGAGCTTTGGGGAATATAAAACAGACTTAAGGACAAAGGAAAAATGTGATTTTATGTAAGATAAAGAAAGCATTTAATTCCTGCCTACTATGCACTGGGCAAATGAAGGACTCAAGGAGCTTAAAACTATGTGAAAGTACTAAGCAACAGTGCATCCGTCAGCCGAACGTAGATAACTAAAAAGTTCGGTGACATTCCAAGGATGTGAAAGTAGAGCCTGGAAAGACTTATCTAGATTTACCTACACAAAACAGTCAGTAGAATCACCAACCTGAAAGGGTACAAGTAGGTACTTTGACCTGTAATATAACATAAATCTGAACCCTCAACTCCCACCCTTTTAAGGAGGGAAGTCCTTAGAACTGCTTTTTTTACCTTGACTTTCAAGGCAATTCTATTCTAGCTGTACTTCAATTTTCTATAGGAGACGCCCCTTCCCTTTTTACCTGCGAGACGGGGGACACACAATGCAGTACTGAAAACTGTCGGAAAACAAAACTGGTTTCTTTTCATGTTTCTACTTTCTGTCTAGACTGCAGTCACTTTCTTCTATCAATAGGTGGTGAGCTTGTATTGGTTAGGCAAATGCTGATAGTTTATTGAAAGTGAAGTAGGAATAGAGTGAGGCAGTGAAAAGTGCTTTTTAGGCACCCTCAGATGAGCAGACAAGTGAAATCTGAGGACATAAAGAGATGGACTGCCTTTAAACCGATGTAAGATCTGCTCTTCCTAAACTATCATAAAACCACAGTCTTCAGCAGTGACATAAATCAGCCTCCTCAAGTAAAGCTGACAGGGCTTACAAGCTTAGCAGTTGTTCTCTCCACTTTATTCTATCCTTTATTCCTTATTATTTAAGAGACTGTCAACCAAACTGAGAGAATTTTAAATATCACCCTTTTCCTTCTTCCTCCCCGGCCTAGTTCCATCCAATACTACATGAAAAAGAACATAAATGTGTTTTGAAAGTTTATCATTTTCCAAGCCACACACACATGCAAATCTTTCATTTTCCAATACCTCTTTCTGAATAGATGGAAACAGACAATCCCTTGTTTAAGAACCTTGAAGGAAAAGCTCTTTTGTTCCTATTTCACATCCTCAACGCACTTCTCACCTGCTATTTTAATATTCAGATTGGCATCCAGAAGCAAATTTTCAGCTTTTAGATCACGATGAACAATGTTCCGACAGTGACAAAAATAGACGGCTGCCACAATCTGTTTGAACTTCCGACGGGCCTCCTTCTCGGCCATTCTGCCATGGGCCACCAGGTGGTCTGCGGTGAAGAAGAGCACAGTGAGTTCTCATTTTGCACATGGGCATCGCTTCAAAAGATGGACTCCAGAAGGGATGCCAGGGGGCCACCAGATGAACAGTTGAAGAAGTGAAACAAACAAATGGCAACACTTGGGGCCCTGGTCTGTGTCTATAGAAACCCATTAGCAAGCAGTCCCCAGACCGTTTTCAGTGTACATGAGCATGCACAGGACTACCTATGCTCTACCGTAAGAAAAAAGAGTTCTGAGGGTTATCATGGTATTTTTGGAGAATCATCACACTCAACACCTCCTCTCTCTTATCTCCATTGCATGAGATTACATACACACAGCAAACATAAGCATGAAGATAAGAATCAGCAATATTTCCTGTGCTAAAGGGTGAGTCAAAAAGCAGAGTCACAATAATCAATCATCTTGGAGAAGAACAGACAGAACTTAGTCACTGCTAAGGGGGAAAACGGCTTTATAAAGGAGCCCATCTATGCTAATCTCTCTTCTGCTTTCTCAAAGTTTTACAGTTTAACATAAAAATGTACTTATTTGGTGACTAAACTCTGGAATGCATAATAATATGCCTGTGTCTTTCCATCTGCATTTATGTGCTTTTCAATTATTTCTTAAATTGTTACCAGTTTTTACAGACAACATTAGAAAACAAAGGGAAGTTTCCACCACTTTCAATGAAATTATTTCATTGGCAATGTGGCTAACTAAGCTACAGCAAATTAACTTTGTAATACTATAAATCAAGTTATCGTCCATATTTAAAAATGAACTGATGACCCAGAGCCAATCCCATTAATTTCCAATTACCAATACCAATACAATTAAGTATTTTTTCTAATAGTGGCTAATCCTAAACCCCAGTTCTTCATCTAACTAATAACATATTGAGATCATAACAGCTGATGGGATGAGGAACACTGGCAATACGACTTGCTCTACTTAAAACTTCCTATCCTTGGGGCGCCTGGGTGGCTCAGTCGTTAAGCGTCTGCCTTCGGCTCAGGTCATGATCCCAGGGTCCTGGGATCGAGCCCCGCATCGGGCTCCCTGCTCAGTGGGGAGCCTGCTTCTCCCTCTCCCACTCCCCCTGCTTGTGTTCCCTCTCTCGCTGTGTCTCTCTCTGTCAAATAAATAAAATCTTAAAAAAAAAAACAAAAAAACAACTTCCTATCCTTAAACTAACTCATCTAGGTGGGAAAAGGACACATTTGCCATCATAAGCATCCAGAGATAGTGGGAAAGTGAGAAAACCAGATAATATAAATAGGTGTATTACTGTTTATCAAGAGTAGTCTCAATAATCCTACCCAACTGCTGTCTGGGCACCATGGAGATCACCCACAGGACCAATCGGATATATCTCTTCTTCATCACAAAGAGAAGTCTGCGAGAAGATACATGCACTAGTAGTGATACCAAGATTCAGGGCTTAGGACAAGAAACGGGGGTAGGGCGTGATGAAGGGGAGCCAAACGACAATCCATCTAACAGCAGATTTTCAAATAATTCAAACTACATTCTGACCACAAAAAGCATACAATTTGGGAGATCAATACTACAGCAATTTTAAGAACAACGTCTTACAGGATCACTTAAATTATTAAGAAAGACCCTTCAACGGAATTACTGCAATTGTGTTATCAGTGGCTCCTAGACCAGTTCCTTGAAGCATTTTCCTCAAAAAGAATCCCTGATTATAGCCAAGGTGACCAAGGTAGTAGGGGAAAAAAAAAGAGAAAACAGGACGTCTTCAGCTTAGAAGTTAAAAGGACTAGAACCCCACTTTCTACAGGAGTTCAGAGGTAGTGATGAACGAGCGCACACTCTGGTGTATTTACGCTTCTGGTGAGATCTGTCAAATGAACTTTAAATAACACAAAGTCCCTAACCAGGAAGAGTCACTTAATACAAGCTGTTAAAGAACTGGACATCCATCAAACATGCAACGCTAGGTTTTATTTTAAGACGCCATTCTCTCTAACAGTACCTGCTCCTTTGACCCCCTATTCCTCTTAACCCAAGGCCTAATTATTCTAATAATATGTTTTAGCTGCTAAACTTTGTCTAATTAAAGGGCTTTGAGGAGACAGCTATTCCTGAGAAACATAAAAATAAACCCTTATGAAGGTTTACCATCAGAAGCTCATTTGGCCAAGCCACCCATTAATTAAAATGCCCAAGAGACATTCGTCTGGCAGTAAATACTAATTACCAGAACACATCAAAGAGCTTCTTAAATACAACAGAATGATTAATTTCGTGATTTCCAAAATAAGTGATTTTCTTTTATTAAAAAAAAAAAACTCTTTATATTTTCTAAGTACTTTGTTTTCCTAAAATGACTGGAAAGTTCTCAAAACTGCTGCAGAGGCCAGGAGCTGGTGGAATGCAGCCTAGTCCTGTTTTATCTCCACAATGACACACTGGTTGTCCTTGGACAAATCATTTATACTGCCAATATCCCCACCTCCTGATCTGCTAAACAGAAATACACCCTATTACACACTGTGGCCAAAGAAAGGATAGCGTATTTGGGAATAAACTTGTACTATGATTAAGAATTATCCTACATAACTATAACTTTCAAGGACATTTAAACAGCTATTTTTTTAAAAGTCCACTCAGTATTATACAGAGACTATTCAAGCATTTGGCTAATAGGTCCTGAGGTTCTTCAGCATTCATAGTGCTTGAAGGTAATTATTATATACATCAAATGTCACTGTTAACATGGTTCTAGTTAAAAGGTATTTGTGATAGCAGCACACTGGGTAAAAGAGCTTAGGCTACATATATTTTCCCAAAGACACCTACAGTATCCCTACAGTTATGAATACAGAGATACACAAATCCCTTTTTTTAAGTGCTGGCTGCAAGCCTCAGATCTTTTTTTCCTAGTTACTGTGTCTGATGTTCACGTTTTCTCCGCTCTGGGAGCACTGTGCTCTTCTCCCGTACAGGACCATCTTGGCTCCATGTCCTTCAGACTTTTCAGGCTCGGTTTTTATTTCTGCCCATCTTATTACTGCCGCCACCACCACCCCACCTCCCATCCCTGGTAGTTTGCTTTCAGAGTAAACCCATGGGGGCTAGTGGGTGTGCCAGGAAGCCGGCAGCCTGCAGTGGTTTCCAGAACGCTGCCGAAACTGCCTCTCAGCTGCCCGCGGACAAATGGCTGCTTTATGTTCATGTGTGCCCTCTAGGCAGGCAGCAAAACTTCTGCGAGCTCAAATGTGACGTTTAACTTCCAGCAAAGGAACCCAGAGCAGTCGCCCAGCCTGGACTTAACACAAAGTCACAGCATTTGAATAAATACTGGGGTGATTTCAGAAGGCACATGAAACAAAGCGGCTCCTGAACCACTCAATATTCAAAGTAAAATACACTGTGAATCTTGTCGGGATAAACCTCCGTTGCAAGGAACTCGAAAGAATGGTTCTGCTTCTTCCAGGCAGCTCAGTGAGCTAGTTCTCCTAAAATACTGAGCTACCTAGTACCGCTATCCTCGGTCCCGAACTTCCCACATGGCAGCCTGGCCCTGCCCCCGAGCCCAGCCGCTCTCCGGTCCCACACGTGCAGCAGCAGCAGCGACCCCACCACTGAAGCCCCCTCAACAATGCACTACTTGGCTACTTGGCTACTTAGCTACCGTGTTCTACCTCTGCGGCACACTGCAGGTTTCTCTCTATCACAGCTTCACCCCGACCACGTCAGCCAAGACAAGGAGGAGGGGACTCTCAGCTCAATGGAGAAAATGGGTCTCCTGTTTCAGCTCTTATCAAAAGGAAGGAGTCGACGTTGTCTTTCTCACTTTGCAACTGCCATAAATCACCTGGCACTGGACTTCTTTAATCTTTCTTATCGGCTCTTCCTCATAAGATAGGAAGAAGCTAGTGACACCAAAGGATATATATATACCTCGCGAGTAGCATTCTTAGAAGGGGAGGGAATGAACTCCAAAGTTTAAAAGTATCAGAGCAAGTGCATGTATAAGGTTTGCTTCAGAATTCCCGGCTTGGGATTCTGTCCTAATCGGACTCAGGAAGAAATATCTTGTGGTGCATTTAGATTCTAACCTTTCAAAGGGCAAAAATACACATAAGGCGGTTAACGTCCCTCGACCAGCTTCCCCGGAGTGTCAAAGGCATGCCACTAATGGGACAGTGGTAGGGAGCCAACACTTCTCAAAATAAGTCACTTTTCCACTATAAACAGACACTGTCTCCTTTTGTCTGCTAAGCCTATGACTCTAACTGATCCAAAACACTAGCTGAAAATGAACATTCCCTGACAGGGGGTCACGCAAGAGTGCAGAAACTCTTCATTTTTCATGATAAAGAAATAGCCCAGTCCAGAATGGGAGGAAAGCGGTCTGTGTGCGAAGCTTAGGTGGCTACCTGAGAACATTTCTACCAATTCCAAGCTAACCACAGCAGACAGCTCGGTGCTTTGCCCTCGCTTCTATCATTTCTTCTTTCTACACCCATGGAAACGACTTCCTGTTTATCAAACAAATGCTTCTTTCCAAAAGAGCCAGGGCGAGGCCAAGAGAACTCAGCTGCCTGGGAGCAGGTTAACACAAGGGCCCTCACTTGAGTATCATGCCGTCCCTAACCCGTGCAGACCCGTGCAGGCCCAAAGCTGCGGCTGACTGGAGGAAGGAGGTTTGCTACTTTGTTTTCCTTGCCAAGAATCCAACTACCTCACACCAGCTTCTTTACTTGTTGCTGCTTCTTGTTGAAATCTTTTTTCTTCATGCTTCCCGGCTTCCAGGCCAAAACATTGTCTCCCCATTCTCTTTCTCCCACACCCACAACCAATCCATCAGCAGATTTTATTAGCTCTACCTTCAAAATACAGCCAGAATTCAACTAGCCCTCACCGCATCTCCAACCCACCCCCATGTCAGCAGCCTAGTCCAACAGCCATTCTCCCCCTCCTGGTTCACTGTATAGCTCGTCCTATTGCTCCTAACTAGGACCCTTGATTC